TATATATATATATATATATATATATATATATATATATATATATATATATATATATATATATATATATATATATATATATATATATATATATATATATTATATTATATTTAGACAATTGTAGTTAGACATAGTATCTGTGAGTTTGGTGTGTACTGGTTTCAAACTGCGGAACTGTTCTGAAGTATTCGGTCGATTTGTTGAAACGGGTCTCAAAGGACTAATCTTTTTATACTATTCCAATATTTATTGAAATTACTAAGCGGAATTAGTTTTCAGTATATTGCAAATCGCACTCTGTAGTGACGAAGCGATGTTGTGACGTAACGACTTCACAAACAATCAAACATATCTACGTCATTTTGACGTCACAGATATGCTTCGTCGCTGGAGGGCGCGATGTATTGCAACTTGGTGTTGTCATCGTTGTAAGCTAAGCTAGATTATCATACTTCAGTAAATATCAACTTCAAGTACTGATCTAAATCTCTGATTCAGTGATTCAGACAGTAATATTCATGCACGATTGTCAAAAAGTTGATACATTCAAGTTGAAGCGCTAAAATCATATTCAAATTTCATATTATAAAATCTAACTTGGAATTATAATTAGAAATGCAAAAAAAAAAAAAAAAAACATTTTAAAAAACAAATTAAATCAACAACGTTAAGTATGCGTTGTTTGTATTTATATTTAATAAGCTCGTAGTTCCCCAATTGTGATTAGCTAAACAACAACAATACTTCCACGCTTAGAAATCATACGAGTAGATGCTTCGTTTACACTTGGCCGTCATTAACCACGGACGAGTCGACTTTATGTTTTTAGCGCTGTGCACACAGTTTGTTACGTTTTTACACTATAACTACTTATTACTCCTGTTTATTTATATTAAAATGTTAAATGTTCAAGGAAATCCCAAGTTAATTACTGTAAAAAGACCATGAACAAGGCAAGAAATATCTTTTATGCAAATTGTCCATTTTTTATCTTTCTAATTTGGCGCTGTGTGTAAATATTTAATATATGTTTTGCAGTTGCCACAGCAACCGATTGGTCCGATTCTTTCGCAAATTTTTCCAACATATCACACTAATAAAATAGCAACTCGGTTTTTTTGGGGGGGTGAATAAAATACTGAGAACAATCCTGACATGTGTAAACACTAGAGTAATTTATTAGTGAATTCTAAAAGTTCCACTGTGAGTACTATTTTGCACCAAAAAATGTTGGTAAGTTGGTTAATATTATCTGGTTTGAAATATATGAAACATGTGTATACTCTTCTTTGTGAAATATACAGAACAGTAGAAGCGATGAAGTTGATGGGACAGAATGGAACACTATTGGAGGGGAAATACAAGTCACGTGACTATCTCGCTATCTCCGAGATCTCGGCAGCCCTTTTCCTCTAAAGTTTGTTAAGAAACCGTGTGATTCGGATTCTGACAAATTGTGCCGATGGCGGCGCCCTATGCACGATACACAAATGGTGCATAAATTCTTTTACATGCGTATTTTATTTGCATTTCTATGTATGTAAATATAATTTATTAATTATTAACCTAAATTTAATGATTTTTTCTCTATATGTGTGTGTTTGTTTATAATTATAGGAAATGTATTAAATATGGATGTTAGTTTGTTTGTTTGTTTGAAATATCTGTATTATTAATATACAGACTAGTAGTACTTTTCTTCAGCTCTGGGTAGATTAGTGTCTGGTGCAATGCAGGGGGTCGAGACATCCTCTCTAAGTGGACACAATATACCGCTAGCACGCCATTCTTATTAGTAGCGCCCTCTATCGATGGAATGTTTCTATGACGTATATTGATGAAAGTAATGTAGTTCAAATCAACAATTGTGTTTCCTTGTGTAGTTATTCGCCGTCTAGATACAGGAAAAGCTATAAACGACGTTGTTACCAATTTATTTCTTTTCTGTATTCATTCCTTGAGCTTTGCTGTGATATTATTTTTACTTGAGACCGGTTCGAAATGCTCGTACAACCCCAAGGATCGGCATTGAAAATCACCTTTCAATTAACACCAATTCTGTCACATATGTCCAGTCGAGACATTGCGTCAAGAGCGATGGTCGTCGTATAGCGTCCTGTTCGATATACGTGTTCCATGCGATGCACACAACGAATGGTCATTCGAATTCAAGCGCGCGCTGCACAACTACCATTTTCTACTTCTACTGGGAGGGGAGGGGTAATCACAGAGTAGGGGTCGACCATTTGAAGTTATGAGAGGTGGGTAGAAGATTAGTTGAAAAAAGGTGTTGCAGAATAAAATGTTGACATATCTAAGAACAATAAAGATGTACAGTCAAGACATCGCAAAAAATGTACTGGTCACACTCTTCCAGATACCGCAATGATTTCGAGCATTTGTCTCCTTACGTTTTGTGACCGTTTTAAGATGAAGCGGAATGATGATTTGTACAGCAGAACGAACTTTTCACCACCAGTTCCTTCTTCTCACCACAAATTCACAAAATAGTCCTGTTTATAGTCTGCACTTTTCTCAGAAGCCATTTTTTTTAGTAAGAACTGAAAATTGACTCAACTTTTGTCTGTTAGGGTTAATTCCCAGAAATATTGAAGAACATGAGAAAAAAAGTGCAGAACAAATTTGGCGAGAAAGTCTCGTGGTGAAAAAAGGTTAAGAAATGAATGAGGTTGCCGACATTTGATTATTGAATGGCGTTCTGTTCACGTTCTGTGCGCGCATGCGTTGTGTAAACAAGACTTGGTCTTGTATTAAGTCATGTTTGCATATTTCTATCAATACATATTTATATTTCTTAACATTACCAGTTAGTCATAGTTATTACCAGGGATTACTCGATGTTATCATACATCGTCATCGAAATAGAAGATGTGTAGCATAAGCAATAACCTTAGCAACGAATGTCATCCAACACAATCGCTCAAGACACATAATACACCGGCCAAATGATTGACAGCACAAGTAGCCATTCAGCTGAAGCTGTTGATTTCTCGCATTAATGCGAAACAAGCCATGGTGTTACTGACCAAAGTTCCCCAGTGCAAATTTCAAAGCAGTTGGCCTGAGAGTTTCAGTGAAGTCGTAAAAAGCAGATATAGCTCTGGCTTCTGATTGGCCAGTGTCAACTGATGGTGGAAAGTTGAGAATGAAATGTTAATTGAGAAATTATGTTGACCTTGCTTAGTAATTAGTACTAGTTGCTAAGGACGTAAAGCTTGGCCATGCGAGATCTCGCAGTGGGCGGAATATGGCTTATTGGGGCATCCAGTGTATAAGTAGCTAAGACGACGTAACACAAAACGCCCTCACAAAACCCCTCTCCCCCGTAGTGTTTCTTGCACTAATACATGTTGGTTGCACTAATACAGCGCCATCGTGTGGTACTGTTCAGAAACGTTTAGCAGTAGGTTACTGTGAACATGTTTTGAAACTAATTACATTCCATCCGAGACGTTTACAATTGAAAAATGTCCCTGGGTAATGTTCTGACGTTGGTTGATAATGTGTTGTAATTAAAACCGTCCAAATTATATGTGAATAGACTGTCACGTCGTATCACGTGACTAAATACTGAATATACAACATAGCAATAAAAACATACATCAAAGGAACAGTCTTCAGGTTCCCAAGAATGGATAGCTGTACGGCAGACAGACCTGATACAATTAACTTGAAATACAATAACAGAGCGTGTCCAGTCATTAGATTCCTCGTATCCAGCCGTGGTTGGACAGACTGCGATATTCGATATTTGTCTGTGGATGTTTGAACATCCAGAGACATTCCACGATGAGAGTAATTAAGTATGTACTATGCGACAAATATGGGACATATGCACAAGAACTTTTCACAGAGACGAAGAGGTATTCTTGACG